AAAATGTACAATTGCCTCCCTTAAATACCCTTTCTCATAATTGGAGTCACCTGTGTATGGAGGTCAAGGGTCACTGAACTTACCAAACCAAATTTAAGTTCCTATAATTAGTTCTAAAGKTTTTGAAATCAATAAAACGAAAACGGTGCACAAATTTATACACCTGCATAATTTTGTTTAAACAATTATTGCACACTTTCTGTAAATCATATAAACTTCATTTCACTTCTCAAATATCACTGTGTTTGTCCCCKATATGATATATTTTACTGACTTTTTTTCTCCAAACAATCAATGATTTATAAAGGTAAATCAGGAAAATTAACAAGGCTGCCCAAACTTTTTCATATGACTGGTAGTTAGTAGTTTTAGGGTGTATTCACGCCTGGCACATTTAGTCCACTTTAAACGGACCAGAGTTTGTTTGCTTGACCCGAACCAACTACCAGAAAGTTTGTAAAGTAACTAAGTACAAATACTTTGTTACTGTACTAAAGTAGAAATTTTGGTTATCTGTACTTGCGTAATTATTTTTCAGCGTACTTTTTACTTTTACTCATTACATTTTTACACAATTATCTGTACTCACTAGGTTTGGGCATAATCGTATCGTGTGCAATTAATCGTCAGAAAAACATTAATCGATTATTTTTTGGCACATGACGATTAATACGATTAATGCCACCAGGCAGAGTCCACTCGGTGCTCCTCTCCGCTTCAAATATGACCGACATTAAAAAAAAGTTATGTAATTTATCTATCAACACAACTTAAAATTTGATGTACAGCCTGTAGTCTGTAATTTTGGCAATTTGGGGCCGATTTTTATTAAGAGCAAATCTTTCCCACTAAATTGGTCATGTGACCAGGACATAAGRGTGTCCAGGACTCCAGGGGATTAATCGTCAAATTAATCGTTATCGGCTAAATACCACAATTAATCGTGATTAATTTTTTTGCCAGTATTGCCCAAACCTAGTACTCACTACATTTTTTAAAACGTTAAGAAGTAGAAAGTCATTATTCCTGTTTTACTCTGAGTTGTTATTACTTTAAAAAAATCCTATCCTGATAAATAGTGTCTCCTGGATAGAGTGAATTTAATTGTGTTTGGATGAGAAGTATAAATATATACCATTCTGACACACTATTAGCTTGTACACAACCCATCACAGCTGCACGCTGTTAGAAAATATAGTTTTTGGAGAAGTCACCTCCCAATAAATGTTATTTTGGAAAATCTAACTGCTCACTTTTACTCAGTACTTTTACTTTTAATACTTAAGTAGATTTTGTGTTAGAAATTTACTTTTAATACTTAAATACAAAAAATATCAGATACTTTAAGACTTTTACTCAAGTAATATTCTTAGAGAAGACTTTAACTTTTACCAAAGTATTTTTATGATAAGATACTTGTACCTTTAGTCAAGTATCACATTTAGGTACTTTAACAGCYGGAAACATGCACCTGTTTGGACTTCATGAGCTCCATTAAGCACCATGGTAAAAATGAGCCCTTTAATGTTGCTAATGCTATCACTACAAGGACGCTATGAACAATGAGCCTTTGGAGTAACGAGGAGACACTGGACCTCCTCCATATTTGGACAGATGCACACAGAACTCGTCTGTTAGAGAATGTGGTCCTGTTCTCCATGTTGAGTGAAAAAATGAGGGAGCTGGGCTTCGAGCGGTCTCCAGAACAATGCTGCATTAAAGTAAAAACATTTTGGTTAGACCTCCATCTTTAGGGCAACAATCGTCAGCCGCGTGGCTTTGTTTATAAATGATAGTTTGCTTGCAAAAAAGCAGAATGTGAATTCAATCCGAACCAAACAAGTGGATTAAAGCACTTTCCTGGTGTGAGTACACCCTTAAAGAGATCCATGATTAGTTGTAACATTAGATAAACATTTATTTTTACTGTAAATTAAAGACTGTAAAAATACTGTAGGCTGTTTAGTTTTGTAAATTTTTAAAAATATATTTCAACACGGATGGAGCCATTTTATTTACACTCAAAGCATTCTGGGTAAATGATGACGTGGATAGGTCCTCGGTGCGAGGCTGCTAGCGAGCTATATCCACCCTGAAGGTTAATCTTGGACAATATCTGATG